AAATGTATTTCTCGCTAATACCCAATACTAATTCCCGGACCGAAATTTCTTTTCGGTTAAACAATGATTGTTGTTTGTGGCAGCTTACGGCTTTGTGCAGTTACATTATGTGTATTTATGTGGACGGATTAATATACAACTCAAATTCCATTTGCGTACAAGCAATGCGTGTTACTCACGCTTGTAAACTTACGTTGACATGTGTGTCATGACCTGGTCCAGTTCATCATCATGGGACGATGTCATGAAGTTCGTTGCGTACCTGTCTCATTAAGTATCCCGCCTGAACTGAACCCTTGCGTGATTCAATTATTAATGAGAAGCCACGGTCACTTAGTTACATTAGTTTATTAATGAAGGCGGAACACCAGCGCTGCCGTCTTAGATATAACACAAAGCGGACCAACCTTCGAGATTGTTCGACATACTTCGGACCTACATAAATTACTTGCAGCTCCCGACAAAAGGTAAGACAATATGGGACGCTCTCCACACTCAATACGTTTAAACTGTGCCACAGTTGAATACGGTGTAAATACTAAAAGAGAATTTAACACGAATAAAACGAAAGATTTCAATACTAAAATCGACGGATGGAATAAAGTGCATGTGCTGTTACATAGTAAATAATTCTGGCGAGAGCTACGCCATCCGCACTTGCAATAAAACGAACAATGCAATTTAGCTAGTGCGGCATTCATGCGATGGTTTCTCTGTAAAAGTTGGTTGTTCCAACCGTGCATGGCTCTCGATTACCGACACGGGTAAATATAAAACAAAATACCGGGAATCACAAACCGTATTGTGACATCCGACTTCGTTTAGTTTACTGCATAAGTAAACGTAAGAAAAACGGACCAATTCCGGTTAATGTTGGGTAACCACGGTCAGAATTGGTAATTCGCGGAGTTCCTGGGACGGTTAACAATGAATAGTCACTGTAATTTTATGCATAAGTGTCATAGATTTTTTCCATTGATGATTAAAAGTGAAGTGACGGACCAAGTAAGCAATCTGCTGAATGATGCATCATGTATGAGTCCCGCAGGTTGTACAATCAAAGCTTTTCTACATATTTATTGTTAAACTATAAAACAACAGTAAAAAGAGCAATACAACTAGACAACACGGTTACAGAGCGCGCTTCCTCATAAAATGCAGGGACGTCCGATTTGTGGGAACAGCATATAAAAATTTCAAAGAGCCTGTATGCGCGTGCAGTGTCCGCGCCGCGGCGGCATCACTCGCCGCTTGCATAAAACATGCAAATTGGACCACTTCACTGGTGTGGTGTGCCTAAGTTCACTCGCTTTTGCACTTTTATGTAAAATTGTTGGCCATTAGTCATGTAAATATCGTTAACTGCAACTCTAACGCACCTCTATAGCGTTATTCTAAAATTATCTTTTATTCTTATGCAAGCGGGCCAACACCGAGTCTTTGTTATCGAATCTTATTTGTTTTAATTATCTTATATGAAAGCGTACATAATTTAGAAAATGAGCACCTAAGCAACTCTTTGTTTTGAATATGGTCATGGTGCCTAGTTCTTCAATAGCGTTTTAATTGGCATTGTGGTGCAAAAATGATTTTAATTATAATTGGGAATGCAAAAGCACAATAGACCGTTAAATGATGACGGATTGTCGGCGGCGATTGTTTAGCGTATGCGACTGAATAGCGAACGTTCGGTGCAGTAATGAGCTTCTGAAGTATTTAATGAATGCCCATTTTATGTCTCATTCATTCTAAGCAGATACATGTCGCCCTTTGTCCCTTTTGTTACATCAAAAACTTGATAGTAATACGTGAGTTTTTCAGCGTCAAAATAATTTAGTTAGCTTAATGTTAAGTCATTCTTTCAGGCTCTCCCGCGGTTGTACGCAGGTAATTTGTCGTCGTGATGGAAATAAAAAGTGTTAATACTTTTTCTCATTCCGCGAAAAATTAAGCTACGACCTCTGCGTCGTCTTGGGAGTAGATAAAGTTTGTCCTGTCGAAGGTGGCTGGGAGGAGATTAACCGCGGCGAGGTCTTGCGTCGACTTCATCAATTATGTCCCGCCCCCCGACTCCGCTTGATCCCCTGCTGGCTCGTCCAGAACCGACGGCACGCCTCCCCGCATCTGCTTCGTGATGAGACCGTTTGCAGTTTGTGAATGATTGATCTCCGCACAATAAATAGTCACGTATCTCAAGACAAATGTTGGCCATCAGGAAAGACTGCTTACTTAGTCTTCTTCCGGGTTTTTAAATTGTTGGTGGTACGTCAAATAGTGATGTGCATTCCTGCATAGGTTAGTGCATAAATTTTCCTGAGCCTGTACATTAGACTTGATTGTCCTGACTCTATCGTACATTGAATATTAGCCTGTCAGCTTCAACAATAATGCGTAACCTTTATTCCCGGCCATAGCTGGAACCAGTGCACACAGTAGTGGATAATGTGCGCTATTTAACAACATCGTATATCTAACAGGAGCGTATGCAACCGGCAGCAGTGATCATTGTTCCATTGTTTATGGTTGCACAATTATGTCGGTATTGGCGTTGAAACCACGGCTGAAAACAAATTGAATGTATTAAACTCCCAGTACAACTTTATACACAGTTTATACAGCGTGTTTTACGATATACGCGTGTTATTTTGCTTTATGTTCGTATTATGTTGTCGTGGGTACCTACGTAGACGTGGCAAAATAACAAACGCGTAAGGACAACGACCAGTCTTGTAAGTTTGCTAGTCGCCGGTCGACTGTCGATAGTTGCTATTTATGCTGCGAGTTTAGCATGCGAACACTGTTCTTTTTATTATAAAGTACCTACGTGTTTGTGAACAATTGGCTTTAGTAGTTTCTTGTGTGACCTGAAAGGGGGTCCGTAGTGAGTAGAGGGTTGCAACGAGTGCGATCACAAAAAGGTTGCAATGTATGGATCTTATCATGCCCTCTATTCGTTCTATGTTACCGAGCGCCGTGACACAGCATCATTTCAAAGGTTTTGCATCTCTTTTATTGGCAGGTGTTCGATCTTATCAAGTGCGAATTGATGTAAGTATAGTGTACTGAACTACATATTCCAATTTAATGGATACTTTTTAAAGTTTATTTTTTTATATTTCACGCATTTTTAACACTCTCCACTCCATTAATCTCATATCGGTGAAAAATTGAGTTTCAACGTATCTACCTATGCATCTAGTATTGATAGGTACTGATGGGTTTAAAGCTACCAAATTATTTGGATATTTTTTAACAAAATCATGATGTGTGTTTTTAAAGAAATTATTATTCAAACCAGGATAGATTTAAATAAAACTTTATTACTTATTATAATTTTATTCAGATATTTTAGTACACGTAAATTAATTTTACATTTGCTGTTTGTAGAAATGTTTCAACTCACTACTTCGTTCGACAAAATGTGCACAGTAAATAAATTGTAGATATATGTCACAAACATTTTCAAGCTATATTCTTAAATATGTGTCAGTTAGGTGACGACGTAATTAATAAAGTGGAACTAAGTATTGATTCAAGAGGAGGGCGGAGGGTTTTAACTAAAATGGCATTTAAAATATTGTAATTGGAGTGGCCGATGGGCCGGTGTGGGCCACTTGGTGGGAGCGACTCGAGAGCGACCTTTCTCATCTAATGGATACCGAAAACCTTCTTCACTTTTACGCGAAAAATCTTTTTGGAAAATAAATGAATCCATACCGTATGTAAATCGGACGCCTTCGAAAGTTTTTATTGAAAAACTTGAAGAACTGATGAAAATGGGGTCGCGACGTTTAAGATATCTCCGTTCATCTTATGAATGTACCCGCTGAATCCCAAATGTTCTTACTTTTGCATAAGTTAGTTTCATTTTGGCGGCTAGCAGTGGTTCCGTGTCTTGTGCATTGTTAGACTACGTATGTCGTAAGTGAAGTGTGGTCATTACTACGAGCAATGTGGTGCGACTAATAAAACATTAATCGAATTATGCTAAAGGGTTTCTAGGATAATTAAGTTATTTAAGATTAATTAAAGACGAGAGGGGCGAAGCACTCTCAGGCTCCGAGGGTACAGAGCCTCCGCAGAGAGCCTGAGTAATTGATAAAGCTAACCCTACTACCCTTAATCACGGTCAGCTCAAACTTAAACTCGATAAATAGTTATTTATTAAGTTGTCTGAAAACTTATTACTAGACTCCACTTGGATTTATGATATTTATGTTTACCTATTACGTATTTACGCTGTGTTATTTAACCACTAGGTACAAGTTCTCGGTCGGTACTCGCAGTATGGCCAGTTGTTGAGTCGTTATTTCACCCGTTGTAAATTACTTACACATATACGCCTACCTGTTTGTCTATTTCAAAATTTAATTCTCCTGATTTACAACTGCTCGTTTAATACATATACTTGCGTAGATTTAGCACGAATATGACTCTATGTGAAATGATCTGTAGTGACTTAATTTAAATCTGCGTATACACATAAATAACGAGATAATTGTATAAATAATGCGAGTTTTAGATCTGTGAAGATTTCGTGATGTCTTGTTTATAGTCGTCTATTATTTATGCCACGCGACGTCGTGACTCATACGCTCCGGCTCTACTAGGCTACTTATTAATAAACATACAAAAAATAAACTGCCGACTTCCTTTCGCGTGCCTACAGACATAAAAGTTTTTCGTGCGTATCCTAACAAAAACATAAATTAGGTAAATTTATATCAGGGGTCATCCCTCTGTTACAATATGTTCGTAACGACACCGAGGGTCAATGCGCAGTCAAATCTCCCCCGCAACAATTCAGGCGGCTTCGGATCGGCAAAATTATCAAAACTTTTTAACTTACAACTTTTCCTTAAACGAGTGGAGCGGGCTTTTTCATTCGTTTGGAGCTTTCGCGGGTCTCACTGTCCGTGATCGTGCCATCCTTGTTGCTCGTAGAGCGGCGGCAGAGGCGGCGGCAAGCCTCGGCTCGGCTGTTGTCTCGCGCGTGCCGGTTCCAGCCGGGCCGGTTCGGCCGCGCGAAACATTTTCAGTTCTCATCGCTGCGATGCCGGTGGCGCACGTCACGCTTGTCGCCCGCCGACGACGCTGCGTTACGACGATCGTGCCGTACTTCTTTAACAACTAATAAATCAAGCGAACCGAACGAAGTAAACCCTCACGAACAGATTATAACTCGATATGAGATAACAGGCTCGCGGCACGACTGCGGTGATTAATCACACAAGTCCGTTCAACTCGAATGATCTGAACGGAAGAATAATCTCTCCGATTTCGGTTTAGTTGCGCGTAATGTAAACAGATAAACATTGAAGTTTTCCGGTATCATTTGTTGACTTGAGGATAGCAGTAGTTGTAGGAGCTCTGTATGGACTGATGCGAGGAACTATGCTCGTTGGCAGAACGTGTAGTTAGTGTGTGCGACTTAGATGTGCGTTGGGTAGAGCCGCGGCGTGAACGATGGGTGCTAGTGGACAATGGACAGCTGGGGTGCTGTGGGTGGTGCTGGCGTCGGTGCTGGCCGACTCCTGGACTGCGTACCAGGAGCAGCCTTGTTGCCGGCCCGTGTCACATCACCGCGTGAGGCACCACAGAGGTGAGTCATCATTGCCATAGTCACACAACTTTTGGTAACAAACACTCAAAAGAGTTTTTATTCAGGTGAGTAAGTAGAGTACAAGCAGTTCACTGGCCGACGCAATTAGTCACAGCATTATGTGGGACGGACAGATACGGCATCATTACAAGTTTAAATATTTACCGACGACGTTTGGATGTTTGGAGTACTCTGTAGATAACTGCTGCAACTCTTACGTATTTGAGTCGTATAAGAGACATAAACTGACTCATAAAACTTTTTCTTTAATAAATACGACATTCTCATTCATGTTGACTTGAAGTTTTTGAGTGTGGTTTTTTTTGTTGAAGTAAATAGATGCCTAATATTTATCTAAGTGTAACAAAATATATAGAAAATGATTGTAATATTAATGTGAGCAAAAATAAGCCGGATTTAATTCACAGTGTAAGTCGCGTTTCGCGTATGATTTAAGAGATAATCGGCAATAAGTTCATCAGTTGAATGTAAGTTGGTAACATAAATGTTGTGCCATGTTCCTTGCCCGCCGGAGTCACGCAAACTTTGTTTATATGCTGTCGATCCACAGTGGGCTGTCCGGGCCCCGGCACCAAACGGGAAGCACACACGAACACTCAACCAACCATTTACCCTCTCTGACAGTCGTAAAAAACACCATAAATGAATAAAAAGATACGAAAAACTGTAAACAAACCTATTCCAAGGAAATCCAGCCGAAATTCTTTATATATTACATTTTTTATCTGTACAATACTTGGAATAAAATGAGGAATTTAGTCAAACTACCTTTTAGTGGACACCTGGAGGCGATACCTTATCTAAATGACACATAAATGGTGACTATTCGAAAGTTATTTAAACTAAGATAATTCAGTCTACACGTGATAGTTTCTTTAGAGTCTCTTACCGAGTTGATTCAACAATAAATTCTAACTTAGTTGTAATACCACAAAGTAACAACAAAATGACCACAGTCGCAGAAAGATAGTTTCTAAACCCAGGAAGTACGGATGAAAACGTTGGGTTTTTTTACAGTCAATAACATTTAATTTAAATAATTTTACTCACATTATAAGCCGTACAGTGAGTTTATTTTGGGTTTAAAATACACTGAATTTCATTACGATTTATTTCCGAATTCTTTTTGGACATTGGAAGGACAAGTGGCGTTATTAGCACGAAGCAAGCATTCCTGGGTGACGCGTCAATGAACGTTAAGAACGCACTATATTAAAAAGTTTGATACCATCCCATCTGAATATTATTTCGTGTTCAACGTAGTCAGCAAAATATGTGTACTTATTATTAAAATGTATTCTAAATAAAAATAACAAAGAATGTCGGTTGACGTGTATTCAAAAATTGAAAATCGAACAGAATGGAGTATTTGTTTCGAAACCGTTAATTTAAATTTTTATATAACGTTTTCTTTGTATAATAAACTTTATTTGTCTGTTCATTTGCTGAATGTTTTAGATAATGATCTTTAAATATTATCTGGTAATTAAACGGTATAAAAGAATGCCGCAAATATGTTAATTATATCGTAAAATCAAATTAAACGGCTCTACATTTAAATATAACTTCGCATGGCTAATTGGAGGAATCACGGAGGTAAATAGACTAAGAAAAAAAAACATCTTCACTATAGATTTATATATATGTAATACAACAATTCACACATTGTCTTGAAAGATTTATAACTCCGTAAATCGGTAGCTGCCACAGTAACCTCAACGGTAGCACAAAAACTCTATTTATTGCATCCGAATAAAGATGATGTCAATGTCATACTGGAGCTACGGCCATTCATTGTTCAAAGAATGAATGCAGTCGATTTAAGCTGAATAAAGTTTTATGAATCGAAATGCTGTTAAACATCCTTAAATATCTTAACAAAGGGCAAGTATTTGTAATACTCGTATCTTATTGTAAGGGGCTTACTTCTCACAGTTAACGAAGGGGCCCCTTTCTGTGGATTGTGGAGCAAAAAGTATTATGCACGATGGGTGCTAGGGGGCGCGGTGTGAAGGTGAGGGGCGGAGGATCATGCGAACCGGTTCAGCGTGCGCCCGCGCAGGTAATCGACTCGCGCTCCTTTTAGCTAGGGCTGATCTGAACTCGATTGTGTAACGGCTTTGTTTGATGTGTATACTATTTATAGATAATTATCAGTTCGTTAAATTTAGATATAAACCAATTACCAAAACTTTTATATTTATTTAGAAATTGTAGTTCTTATAAACAAAAATATATTATTATTGCAGAATTTGAAAGTTGTAATTTACATATTGAGATTTTTTTCTGAAATTTGTAAAAAGTTAACAGAATAGGTAAGAGTAACAAAAATTAAAAAAATGCGAATTCGTGACCTTTATCATTTGGCTCACCACTTAAAAGTTGGCAACCCTGCACTTGGCTAAATTAAGTAATAAACGAGCCAACATAATCGAAGCATAAGCTATGCCCAACAGTTTTTATTATAACGTGCTACATCATTCCAATAGAATGTATCTTAATGGTCGTGGCTATTAGGCTAGGCACGCATGTCTGCGTTCGCTGTTTTTTTCTTTTATTTATGACTTAATTTACATGCTACGAGGATTATAATGTAGTGGTTAGCGATGTAGATAGTGTAGCGAAATTTGTTAGAAGTAAAATGTAGTGCGCACTGGCACCTAACTTAATTTATCGCCTATCGACAAAGTTAAGCGAGGAGCATGCTTAGGTGCTTACACTACCTAGCTGTTACAATTTAACGGTAAAGTATTGTTATACAATTTTGCAGCACATTTTCCCGTGGTTTAGAGCTAAGCTGAATTATAACGTGAGCGCTCTATCTATCGGTAATGGTGCTCGGAGAAATTATGCTGGACTCAATATGATAATAGTGCCATTAATGATTTGTTGTGTAATGCTGACGGCATGTAAGTACGGCTCGAGAGCTGGAGGTGACTGAGTATTAATTTTGTGAGGACTTTTAAGGGTGTAATTCTGTAGATATTTAAAAAAAAGCTCCAGGAGATTAGAACCTTATATATTTATTTATAAAAAATGCAGTTCTAAAGCTTGTTAGTTAGGCTCTTTGTGTTTCATACACACGCCAAAGCCGTTGAAACTCAACCACAACCTAGTTGGGAAAAAGCCAGGAGCAAAAGTAACGTTTATCCAAAACAAAAGTTCGTTACGTTTTCCATTCGGCCATTTGCTTTTATTATAGAAGGCTAAACAGGTACTTGTTACCCACAATTACTTTACGGAGCATTACACGTCGTTCAGAGGGCGATTTTAGCTAAACAGAGTGTGGCGGGAACAAGAGTAATGCTCGCGTTAGTCGGTCGCCCTGCCTGGCGTGTGGTCCCATCGGCGAGAGGCCGGCAATCGTTCTGACAGCGAGCGATGTTATCGCTATTTAATATAAACCTATTTACTTGTACCTAGCCCGCATGCCGCACCGCGGTACCGCTATGCTCGTGGCTACACCCACAGGTATCGCTTACTGAATTATCTTTGGACAGCGGATCATGCTCGTTGCTTTGAGCATATCTACATGTTTTGTTCTCACGACTGGCTTATTCATGCTTGAATGTACTGGTTATGTGTATACGGGCTTATTGCGTTGGTTCCTGATTCGTTGGACTAATAAGATAATATCCGAGTCTGCTTTACACAGTGACAGTAATATAACTTACAAGTGAAAACCACTTTGTCTAATATGGGATTAATATAATCTGTCTATATGCATCCTAGTATGATTTTGTCACACAAAAAATATGAACCAATGAGCAAATTCACTCCAAAAGGAATAAGTCATAACTGTTGAACAATGAATCGGTTGAGTCAGTACTAGAAGTTAAAATAGGGATTAATGTATTCCGGAAACACGAAGGTTTAGTTTTAACCGTTAAAGTGTTTGCGGTAACCAGAAATATAACAATGTTTGTCAATGAAAGTTTTATTTTCATAAGTATTTATGCTTATATAGGTATTTTGGTGTTTTTGGGTGTGTGACAATATGGAATATTGGTTTATATGCTTCCATTTTGTATACGAACTGTTCTCATAGTGCTTCCTATGCTCAATTTAAACTGGGGAATTCAGTAGAAAAGACGAAAAGGATAATTATGCTAAACAATACCCTTTTAAAAAAGACTGAGTAGTAATAAACCAAGAAAAGGAAAGCCAAACCAATGCAAAGATAACTCATCTCTTTAAGTAATCGCTAAATTTCTATAGAAAACATTAATCAGTAAGTAGTTAGTGCAGCATCTTAGTGCAGCTAATAAGCGCAAAACACTACATAAAAGCGATTCCAAATAACTGGAGATAAGATCTTAGTACCAGAATCTAGGCTACTACCAACCTAGTTTCAGAGTTCCTCTTAAAAACGCCGACAATTGCTGTGAATTGAAAACCTGGCGCCTTGTACTAAAGTTGTAATGATCACGTCGCTGTCGGGCGTTATAATCACTCTAATTAAGTTATCTAGACTACACGGCTTTACCTAGGATTTAACGAGTTCCACGAAACGGTGTTATTTATCGTCGTTTCACCGTACATTTTAAATAATGCTCGTCTACAATTCTACGTTAGAAGGCACTTTGTTGTTTGAAGTGACTTCCACGTTTGGTAAAAGCTTTTTTAAAATTTAAAGGCGTTTTTAAGACTTACCTGAATGTTAAGGTTATTAGAAATGTGACACAATTTTATATCCCCTCAAATCTCATTTGTTATTATCAAAATCTAGAATCAATTTTGCCTTTTAACAGAATAGAAGGTCATTTACCAAGAACAATATCGACATGACAACCGAAATACTCTGTTCTTTTAACAATAACTTCGTTAAAAATTAATTTGGTTTTTCAACTTTAAGAATTTTATTCACTTAAGTCGATCATAGCAGTATAAGTATAAGCTATAACTGCGAATTGAAAAAAAACAGTCTACAAATTATTTGCATAATTTTTGTAGAGTGATTATGTTGAGATACAAAATTT